AACAACAACATAATAATATATAATTTAAAAACTCACAACAGTCATACCATCCACTAGCCAGTGTCAACTGGCGACTACCCGGTGGAGAGCCTTCTCTGTGGCTGCTCCGACCCTCTGGAACGAACTCCCCGTGGAGATTCGAACCCTCACCACCCTCCAGGCCTTCCGCAAAGCCCTCAAAACCTGGTTGTTCCGACAGGCCTGGGGCTAAAGAGCTGTTGCCCCCGTCTCGAATGGTATGACTGTTGTGAGTTTTTAAATTATATATTATTATGTTGTTGTTTTTAAATCTTTTGTCTGCATCCCCCTCCCCAGTTCGAGTTGTGAGCTGCCCTGAGTCCCCTTCGGGGGAAAAGGGCGGCATATATATTTAATAAACTGAACTGAACTGAACTGGGGGGAAATATATTATTGCAAAGCAGTATTTCAAAGGGGATATAAAGCACCCATATTAGCAAGATCCATTATTCCTGGTGCAGGGAAAGAAGAATCAACTTTTACCTGGCCTTGACCCTGTCTCTCAAGATCTACCACGCACATGTCCACAATTGGCCCGAGGTTGGTGAAAGTTTCCATGGCCACAACATAGGAGCCTTGTTCATTACTATCCACATTGAGCTAGGAACAAAAATAATATTATGTTTCTTGTGAAAATAAGAAACTGTTTGCTTAAATTTTTCTTTATTTGATCTACTTGAGCAAAAATGTACTAAAAATTACAGTTTTTGTTTTACTTTGCCTCAAAATAAAATAAACAAATACCAAGAGAATAAAATTGCTAAGAATGACATAAATAAAATTAGCGGTCCCACAACAATGCTATTTAAATATATAATAATCAAAAGATTAGCAAACTACTATTTCTTGATACCTTAATTATTAATTAAAAGCTACACTTTACCTTCACAAGTTGGGAATCCCCTAGACGAGAGCCAACAAACACAACACCATTGTCCAAATATGTCAGGCATTCTGCTATGGATGTCTAGGAACAAATAAGGCAAAATGAGTGATATTAGGCATTTTAAAGACATAATAATAGGGATGCACAGCTATTTAAACCCAAAGCAGGAAGGATAGTTTGGCATGGAGATGCTCATGTATATGTACCTAATACATTAGAAGACATATTAAAAAGTATCCAATGAACATACATTGCCACAACAAAATATAATTAAATATCTCTTAGTCATAAGTAGGGATTTATCCCTTACAAGTATGAAAACCTGTAAGTGATTTTAGATGACATTCTCTCTTGGCCTTATTTGGTACATCAAATCGCCGTCAATTTAAGCACTTTTCTTTAAATTCCTTTGAAGGAAGGCCAGTATTTAAGTTATAGTCTGGGCTTTAATCCAGATGTGAGAGATCATTCTCTTGATGCTATCACCACCAGAGAGCCATATGTGAGAATAAAAGAGATGGCACTGCTCCAGTTCTGAACCGGTCAAGGATGAAGTCAACGATTGTTTTGTTTCATGTTTCCACTGGGAGGAAAAGTATCCAATGTGGCTTTTGGTGAATCATTTTTTATTCAATGAGTATTCTATTTTTAGTGTCGTCTAAGAGACAATCAGCCAGTGGAAAGACAGGGTATACAGATAGTTCTTGACTTACTACCACAATTGAGCCCAAAATTTATGTTGTTAAATGAGAATTTATCAAGTGAATTTCCCCCCATTTTATGACTTTTCTTGCCACAGTTGTTAAGTGAATCACTGCAGTTAATAAGTAAATAGCCTGGTTGTTAAATGAATCTGACTTTCCCAGTGACATTGCTTGCCAGAAGGTTGTAAAATGTGATCACATGACCCTGGGGCACTGCAACCATCATAAATGTTAGTCAGTTGCCAAGTGTATAAATTTTGAACATATGATCATGGGGAATACTACAAAGATTGTAACTAAGAAAAATGGTCATAAGTCAATTTTCTTAATGCTGTTGTAACTTGGAACCATCACTAAATTAACTGTTTAAGGCAAGGACTTCTTGTATATTCAATTGATGTTATAAATGAAATACATTTTGTAATAACTTAAATCTGAGAAAAAAATATTCAATGACATATATAACCCTCCAATTATGAATCATGAAATATAAACCTTTATTACAAAATTTTAAAATTCTGCTGAACATCATTTTTTTTGCTTATTTTAATGCAGCATAATTCTAAACCCTATACTCAAAAATTACAAAAAAGTAGTATTTGGGAAGGACTCTGTTTCTTCTGGTATCTGCAGGATTTTTTCCCACTCTTCTAGTTCTTCCAGCTGACATTACACCCCAGATGCTCCAGAAATGGAGGCGAAAACAAAACCTACCTCACCAAGCAGTTCCACACGCAAGTCCTTGAGACTGACTCCACCATCCATCTGCTCCTCCTTCTCCAAAAGTAGCATGAATAGCCGACCCTCCATATCGCCCAATAGATAACGGGACCCATTTGGATCTACCCGGTTGTGACATACGATTGTACTTTGCTGTTTCAGGGGGGGAAAAGTCAGAAGTCTTTGAAAAGGCAGGATGGCCGTAACATTGATCCAAACAATTTTATTATTCCTCTAGTAAGAGTAAGCTGCAATAGTAAAAAAAACAAAAAACCAACCCTACAGGATATAAGGAACAGTTTCCCTAGTTTTCTTCTTCATGAACATATATACTTGTGTTTAGCCAAATTCACAGAACGGCCATTTAATGGCAAATGAAACACATTCTCGAGATTCCAAATTTGTCTACTCTTATTCTAAAAAACTACAGACAATGCAGCAAGCAGTTAATCTAGACCAGATGCCCACAGAAATTCCCATTTATTTATAATTTTCATTTTGATTTCTAAGACCTTCCACTTGCCAACAACTCTGGACAGCTCACAGAATGTTAAAACACAGAAAAAAATGCAACACTTACCTAAGTAAATTTAGTTTATGACCTAGCAAAATGTTTAAACTAGAGGCAAACAAACTGATGCTGCATAAAATCATATTTGTTTGGAACTTATGGGATGTAGCATAAAATATTAAGAGTGTACCTGCTTTCTTACATCATACTAAACAAACTGTAAATATGAAGCACAGAATTCCAGCTTTAAGCAAATACCTTTCCAAGTATTTTGCTGCTTACCTTAATGATGGGTGGGGCTATAGCCAGATATTTATCACCATTGTGATAAGTAATGGATTCTTGTCCAATAATGATGGCCCCTCCAAATGGTTCAGGCACTACAAAGAAATTGTTGGGAATATTTATCTCGGGTGCATAGAGAATAATCAACACAGGAAAGAAATACAAACTAGGCAACCCAAGTGTATTAAATTAAATTTCAATAGCTATTGTTTATATTAATAAAGTTTCTAGTTCACCAGAAAAAAGCCACTTTTCAATGTAATAAAATACTTTAAAAGCATGAAAATATTCTACTGATTATTAGGAGTAATTCAGATAGTCAATATCTTAACCGTATTTTATTTTATACTTTAGAAAACAGTTTTCCGTTTCTTTACTACTAAAAGCAAGCACATTTTAATTTTAGTTTCTTAAACAGCTATTTAACTTTGTCTTGGATAGGGGTTACAAAAAAATGAACACTAAGAAATTAAAGCAGGTCTTTTTCTCACAAAGCTACCAGGTAAACTTAAATATAGATCTGTCTTTAAAATACATCCCCCTTTTTTTTTCTTTGATACTATATCCTCAATCTTCCTCAATCACCTTGAATATTAATTCCTGAGCTTTTCCTGCCAGCATAGTTTAGTCTAAAAATGCAGCTGTGCAAATCTAAAGATTTCAAGACAACCTTAGCCTGGCAACTAGTTATCACTGGGCAGCAGTGCCTTCACTATAGGCACTGCTCAAGTTACATAACTATTCTGGGCCTGAGAGCCCGGGGCAATAAAGTTTTTATACAAATTGGAATTGGATCAACTGCCCCACCCCTGGTTTTTTTTTCTAGATGCGAGTTTAATACAGTGTCTTAAAAACAGTCTACGGAGCTTTTTTTTTTAAATGCTGGGTTTTATATCTAAATAACTATAGTTACCTTATTAGCTGGCGGAAGTGTATTTTTAGACCCAAACTTACCTGCAATCACCATTGAGGCTTCAGCCTCTACATTTTCCTGCTTCCACGGTCCCTTGTTAAACTCTTTCTCACGCAAAGACACTTCATATGTTTTGACATGACGGCCCTGTGGATCCTAGTGGGATGGAAAGTATAACCACTAAACACAAATCCATCATTGTTTAGTTAAATTCATTTAACATATGAGAAGATCATTTTCATATGAATGTTCAAGAATCAAACATTCCCTGAAACATTTCTATTTTTGTAACATTTATGCATTGAAAATATATATAGATGTGATGCACTTTCATTAAAGCAACTTCAAAACCTAAGGAATGCCTTTCCCACAAAATAAGGCATTTCCCCAATTCTGAATATTAGTCGTGATCTAATGCAGCTAATAGAGTGATTATATAAGTTATATGATTATCCCATACATTATTTCAAATAGTAACTATTTTGCTTTATTTCACTAAAGCCTTCGGATTTCTTTTTTAACTTCTTCCATTCATGAAAACCTTTTGAAACAAAGTGGGTTTTAAAAATACAATTTTCCTGATGCTGAAATCTCAAAGCAGCACATATTCTGGATTGATTTAGTAAAGTAAGCCTTGTGGCAAATTAATTCTATGAAGTTTCTTACTAATGTAGAAAAAATTTCACTCAGTGTCTCTCCCAAGAGAGAATGGACAAATCACAAATATGAAACTCTCTTGCAATTATAACCAAATTAACATATTTGGTGAGCCCTGAAAAATAGACTTTCCCTGTTAAGACACTGTGCAGAACACAAGTATAGTTGATCCAGATCTCCACCGATAATTTCATTTTTTGCTAGTTATCCAGAAAAAAGACTTATACCCAGTACAGTTTAGAGAACTAATAGTAGAATTAAATTTGTGGGATCCTCGGTGTTCACTTACTTACTTGCTAAGCTAGTTGATAATAAAATACCTGCAAAAAACATCCAAGCTCAGAGAGCACCAAGGACGCCATAAGTTCAGCCTTAAGCTACAAAATGAAATGTCTTCGCTACTTGCCACAATACCACACTTTTACAAAGGTGCACAAAAAGTAAATAAATATCTAAAAATTATTATGTGGAGGCTCAGAACACCTTATGCTTCTGCGGCCAGGACATTGTATTTCTGTCAAAGCATGAAAAGTTGGGAAACTGACAATGCTGATGATAAGAACAAACATTGCTCTGTCCCTTGTCTATCAGCTCATCTTTCTCTGATAGTTGCAGAAGTAATTCACCCTTAATGCATTTAGCAATGAAACCCAACATCCCAGACTTGGAAGTCTAGTGGTCAGCTGGAGCTTGTATAATTGTAGTTCAAACTAATTATAGACTGGAATTTTATCTGATCTGCCTTTATAAGGCTTTTCAATATTGTTTTAATGTGTTTTTGCACATTCCCTCCCTCCCTCCCTCTCTCTCTCTCTCACACACACATACACATCCCTAAATTGCTATAGATATCACAGCAACCATAACAATTTAAAAAACAATATAATAAAATATAATAAATAAACATAATAAAAACAAATAAATGCTATTTTTGTTCTACATGGGGAGACCTCATCTCCTGTAATTTGAGAATGGAAACACAGTTAGTTGTTAGAAGCACTCCAGGTCCTTATAGGTAACTTGCTTGGTTCTTATTTATTTACGTATTGGATTTATGTGTTGCCCATCTCTCATTTGAAGGCAATTATGCTGAAAGGGAATTTTTCTCCCTTTTTGTTGAGTGCAAAATTATGTATTAATAGATAATTCAGAATACCAAACATAAAACTAATGAAAGCAACAGATTTCAAGGGTGATTAGCAATACTGCTTTTCAAGGGCAGTGGTTAAAGAATTAAAAAATAATAATCCTGGTCACATGGCCTTTAATATTTCGGTCCCAAAAGTGATTTCCAGACAGGAATGAACAACTGAATTTTAAACTAGGATGGCTACAAAAATCAAATCATGGCTTCTGGTGGGTGATTAAGCCAGTTTTCTATCTGATCATCACAGACAAACAAAAATGTTAACAAATCAAGGAAAGTTCTTAACAGCTTTGCACATTAAAGGAGTATTATTTTAATCATTTTAACCTTAGAAACTTGTTTGTAGATTAAAACTATTACAACGGAATCAAATCAGTAACCCTTATAGTAATACAAAGTCAAAAATGTCAATAAATCAAAATAATGTTTGTGGAAAAGAAAACAATCCTTCAAAATATTATTATTCTTTTTACCTAAATGGTAATATAACCTAAGATTGACAACATCTGTCTATAGAAAGCATATTTGGTCTGCAAGCATCATCTTGAGACTGATTTTAAATGGCAAACCACATGACTGAAACTCCTGGTTTAGATTTTGGATTTTTCTGCTTCTTTCCAATCCCATTTTGTTTGTTTGTTTTTTTATAACACCTAACTCAATAAGTCCCAAAATATTCAAATACATTGGTATCAATTTGGTTTGTTCTAACAAGAAAGAAAGAAAAAATAAATACTACCTTACTAAAGATTCTGGAATTTCTTTTCCCCCATGAACCAACTTACTGATTCTTTATAATTAACAGATATGTTAAATAATGTTCAGACCCTGTCCCCACTAGCTCAGCAATTTTTTTACAACACACATTCAGATCCAATGTAGTTACCTGATAAACAAAACATATGGTCGGGGCCTGGCAGCCATAGAGGAATTTCACATCAATAACTTGTAGCTCCTCTAGTCGAATGTTAAAGGCCTTTAATTCTTTATTTTCTCGCTCCAAAGGAATCACTTTGAACAAGCCATCATAAAGCCTTAGTCCAATCATTCTGCACTCTGGATCAATTATGCCAATTATACCTGTTTCCGATGGACGACCAATACGATCCTACAGGACAAGACAAAAATCAAATATTCTTAGTACAATCTCTTTTGTCACAACAATAAAAACATGCAAGGTTAAATCTTCTAAAAATCCATTAATTTGTCTTTTGTGCATTAGCCAATAGTTGACTCATTCATGATGAATACTCTAATTTATGCTATGTTGTTCATGTACGCCTAGACTTTCAAACAGCAGCCATTTCTCATTTTTTGTGTGTCCATCCATATTTTATAATTACTATGAATCCTTCACTGCCATTTCAAAACCACAGTAAATAATTCATGGATCTCAGTTGACAAATCTATATATTTCAAAATTAAATTTATGCATTTATGTATTTTAATCCACAACTTTCAATTATATATTACATTGGATATGTAGTTCCTACATATGTATTTGTAGATCTACTTGGAAAACATGATAGTTTGATTTTCATACTTTAGCAGAAGTAATTTTAGAGCTTGACAGCTAACGGAAAAAATCCAATTTTACAGAAATAAGGAGTGTGGAATTTTCTCCTTTAAAAACTGAACAGGAAACATGCTATTTAACAACACAAGATCAAGATCTTAAAGTAATAAACAAGCAGGACTTATATTACATATGTACATATTGTATTAACATTACATATATACATATTACATTATATTATTCTCTCTTGACAAGAGCTCTGGTTTGCAACTGTTACAATGGTGCTGAAAAGCTGCCATAGGACCTCACAACTGTCATAATCTTCTCTGGGGTTACATCATGGGTGTCAAACTCGATTGCATCACGTAATGTATTGCAATGTTTTTTGCCTTTGCAGAGCGGGGATGAGCGTGGCCCACATGGAACACATCTGGCCGCCAGTTTGATAGGCCTGGATTACGTGATCAAAACCCAAATGCTTCACAATTGGCAGGTGCTTACAACCATTACAATATCCTGCAGTGAGTTGATCGCCATTTGCACACTTCATAATGGCTTCCAATAACAGAATCAAGGAAGAAGTCAGCAGTAAAATTACAAGTCACAGACATGTCTTGCTTAATAACCACCAGAGGTAATGTCATAAGCTCATCATAGTCATGTGATGCCTCACAACACACTTAACAAACTTAGCAGTTGTCAGTCCCAATTGTGCTAATCAAGCAAGAATTACCTGTACTATAAAGCTTGTATACATACACTGTTGCTTTTCGTTGGGTGAAATTATGTCTGAAGAACACATATTCTGGCAAGACTGCAGGTTTTACCCTTTGAAAAATATTCTAAACTAGCTAAAATACAATTTAGGAGTAAAGGCAATGGTTATTTTTTACATGTCAATAGTATTTAAATACTATTTAAATGTAGGTTTTAAAAATAATAATTAGAATAAAAATTCCTAGCCTTTATATAAATCACAAGAGGTTCCTAATACAACTTATAAATATTTAATCCCTCTCTGCCAGCTAGCACATGTTTTCTCCAGTCTTGGAGAAAAGGTGGGCTATTACCCTCATAGTCAGTGAATGGCTTCCAGGAACTTCAGAAGGCTAATATAAAATAAGTAATCTCACTTAAATTTGGAAATGGAAGGTGAATGGTGGGATAGGAGTATCTGAAACATAACTAAACTATTAATTTAATCCCCTCCTTCCTCCAAACATGATAAATGACCATATCTTTAAGAACTACAAACAGACAAGGGCAGTGCAATCATAAAAAATAATCCATTCCCCCAGTCACATTTGGATGGAGGGAAGAGACAACTGAAGAGTCTGACTAAGTTCCAATAAGTACAATATAGAATTGGGAGAAAAGAAACGAAGACAGATTTGTTCAGTTACTAAAAATAGTTTACATTTTTAAATTTTGACCCTGATTTTTCCAAAAGGCCTTTAAATAATAAGTGAATGCTTAAAATAAAAGCCCTATTATGTCAGATAGAGATCAGATAAATGAAGCTACCCATTTTTCACAGTGGTCAATGACATGCCTTTGGGGAGTGTAAAAGCAGGAAACCAAGACAACTAACCTCTCAAATGATTTTTGCTGCATATAAAAATGTCTTGTTTATAAATTGCCTTTATGAAGAATAGCAATGTTTTATGTAGAACAAGATTCTAAGAACTGAGAGATTGTAAATATTTTTTCTTGAAACATATTCAATGAGAGTTTGCAGGAGATCACAAGAATATAAAATAGCTATCTGAACAAACAAGGCTACTTAGATCTCATAACAATGACAAATTCATTTTTAATTGCACATCTCTAGAAGGAAACAAAGACTTAGTGGAAAAGTAGGAAGAATTTAACAATGTCCATCCAATAATTTGATAAGAAAAAGACAAGCATAGTCTCAATTCTCAAATTGTTCTATTCATTAATTTCAACACATAAAATTATATTATTTACATTACTTAACTTGGAATATATATTATCCAAAAGTTCAAACTCGGTTTACAAACCATACAGAAAACTGATGTGTGGTCCTGAATCATAATATATCTACAACACTTAATGCATTTTCCTTTACCTGCACATTACCATGGGCTCTGGTGATGATGTCAATGTTCTCTCCACTTTGTTTATACTCAAGAATGCAAGCATTGTATTTTGCTGTCAAAATAAAGAGCAAATCCTTGCTTTCCCCCTAAGGAGGAGAAAAAAAGTTTTAGCCAGAAAAGAAAAAAACACTCCACATTCTACAACATATTAGCAACAAGATATTATTCAATTTATAAAATGTGTATCTCAAATGAAAAATGTTTGAAATACAGATGCTTTTGCTTATCACAACTTCCTATGGTATTAATGCTGCATTAAGCATTTTCTTCTGTACCTGCACATAAATAAGCTCTTCCAAAAAACATTTAATCAGAAAGCATATTAATTAGTTTCATGTGAAACACAATATGAATTCATCAAAGAACATGAGAAGCACCAGAGTTGTTGATGTTCAAGGGAGACTTGAAACAAACAAATGCAAACATTTTACCTCAAATATTATTCAAATGGCCAGGCCAGACAGCATACCTGTTTTTCAAATAGATTTACAAAAGTTGGTTGAGAAGATTACTGTTGAGAATAGCTTAACACACGTATGTTTTTTCTTTCAAATATTACCCTTAAAAAGACCAAGTTCTCAGTTTTATTGATACTCCAGAGCAGTGGTGAATAATTAAACAACGGGTTCTCTTGAAGTGGTGCGAACTGGCTTAATCTCACCACTGCTGAGTCAGCAGCAGCAAAGCACAACATACTGGAGTAATATGGCAAATTTCCGAGTCCCATCATGACCATATCAGAAATGAATCACCCAGAAGAAAATACTTGGTCCACATGACAGGTCCACACAATTAACTCACAACAGACTGGCTGCGCACAAGAATCACAACGTGCTAAATTCCAGCAGGCCACCAGTCCTAAAAATATAAAGCCTTTGCATACCTGAACTTTTCAAAGGCGTCTTCCCAGTATAAACAGAACACCGGGCTGAAATTTTAACAAAACCATACCCTTCCACCTGGCTAACAAACCACAAGGCCACGTTTTCCACCCAGTTCGCATTTACCATTGATTCCCCGCAACGACGGGGGTTTTAACCAGCATGAGCGTCGAAAAAACCAACGAAACTTTTCCGCTCAAACCAGAAGCCCAACCCGATCCGCTGCAGGAATCCCTTCCCGGGCAAAGAGAGCCGTAAAGGATCCGAGGCGTATTATTACCTTGCCCAACCAAAAGGGAGCCCAGCGGCCGCGCTCCCCTTCGGGAGGAGGGGGCGATGCTCACCTTGGGGCGGAAGAGCTCCATGACGGCGATCTTGCCGTACATGCCCACCTCCTTGACGGGCCGCAGCCCTTCTGCGGTGACCACATAGATCTCAAGGCGGGTGTTCTTGGCGATCAACAAGTTGAGGTCCTCCGCGGAGGTGAAGTGACCTGGGGCGAAGAGAAAAGGCCTCGGGGGTGAGGGCGCTCCGACTGGCAGAGCCCGAAGCCGGAGGGACGCAGCAGAGCCTCGCGACCTCCTCCCTTCATTCTTCCCCGCCGCGCCCGCTCACTGATCCCGGGAAAAGGCCCCTCTCCTCCCAAACCATTACCGGTGACGCAGCTGTTGACGGCTGTGGGCTTCTGTGCGGTGACCACGTAGTTGCACGACATGGCGAGACCGGGAGCGAGGCGGAAGGCGAGGACCGTCGGTGCCGAGCGCAGCCTTGAAGGCCCACTACCGCCCTCAATGGCACCAGTGAGAAACCGCCAGCACCCAGAGCGCCGGCGTCCCGCTTCGCGCGGTGCACGACGGGGGAGAAAGAGCAAGCCGAGAGGATTGCGGATCTTTTGTACCGGTGCGAGAGCGCCCTCTTCCGGCCCGAAGGAAGGAAGCGAATTTTGGAGGACGGATGTTGTTGCCCTTATCTCATGCGCGTGCGCGCGCGCATCCAACCAAAGCACGGTAGGAAACGGAGTTGTGGTGCGCCAGCTGGATTGGTGGCGGAGGAGGGGCAAAATGCTCCTAATATGTTAGCGCATCCCCTCCTCTGGGCTCCAGCGCGAGCTCCTCCTTGTTCCCTACTTAGCAGTGTGTAGCTTATTCAGAGTACGTGCACGACACGGCGACCCCCGCGGCCAACTGCCAGAGCGCGCGCTGGGCTCTGCCAATCAGCTTCTTCCTCCGTTCCTTGGCAGGTGGCGCGCGTCTGTTTCAGACTCTGGTCCAAGAGCAACATTTGCATTCCTGGCCAAAGTCCGCGGAGGGTCCTAGTGAGCTCAGCTCGGTCTCATCTTCCATCCGTTCTGTCGGAAAAGTGGTTCTTATTGTGACGCCCGGGTACTTTGCTGGCTGGCTTTTAGAACTGAAACCTGAGGCATCATGCAGGTGAGAGACCTGGTATATTTTGGGGTGAGGGAGAAGACGGGGATGCTAAAACTTATGGAGGCTAAAACATGCCAAGGATGGTTGCAGGAATTGGGTATGTCTAGTCTACTGAAAAGAAGGACTGGAGTGCCATGATAGCAGTGTTCCAATATTTGAGGGGGGTCCACCTATTTTTCAAAATACCAGAAGGCAAGACAGAAGCAATGGATGGAAACTAATCAAAGAGAGAAACAGGCCAGAACTAAGGAGAAATTTCCTAACGGTGAGAGCAATCAACCAGGCTTGCCTTAGAGATTGTGGGGGCTCCATCACTGGAGGCTTTGAAGAAAAGACTGGACAGCCACTTGTCTGGAATAGTATAGGTATAGGATCTCCTGCTTGAGCTGGGGGTTGAACTAGAAATTCTTCAAGGTCCCTTCCAATTTTGTTTATTCTATTCTCTCTGCTTTAGTCCATGAATTCTCAATCTTCTTTTGCTCATGGCCCCCTTATGAGCCTCATTGCCTCTGTGACTCCTTTCCTAGCATTAGTATAAAAAAGACTTCGCTATCTGAATTATTTCACATATATTGATTTGGCCCCTAGAAAAATGACATGGCTCCCCTGGAGTCATTTGGTCCATGCTGAGAACCACTGCTTTAGCCAGTCTTTCCTTGGAGCAGTGTATAAATTAAAAAAACAGAAATATTAGTAATTACTAGAAATCCAGCTCATCTGGTGTACTTGTATGTCTTGCTTTTTCCAATACAGTATTCTGCTTTGTCTGCTTTTCCATTATTAATGAAAATATTTTTGCAGCAGTTAACTGCAAAATAATAAGAAAACTGGCAGCAAGAGGCAATATTAAAGGAATCAGAAAATGACAGGTAAAAAACAAATGATAAGGTGATCTAAGGAGGTAAAATAAAAATGGAATAAATCAAGGTGGGGCTGACCATACAATGAACAGGAACATATAATATTGCAACAATTTGGGGTCAGGCTCATGTTGTTACCAACTGTTTAACCAACAGTTACAAAACACTTGGAAGATCAGAAGCACTGGAAAAAGAGTACTGTTGTCAAATCTCAAACACAGTGATTAATCCAAATTGTATGTTTGCTTGAAATAATAGTATTTTGATCAGTTGTATAAAAGTAACCAAAAAAGCACATGCTTCACAAACCAACTGTTATAAAATTTAGGACACATTTTGAGATTTTATGAACTACTTGACATCAGAATGGAGCTCTGTTTCTTTCCTTATTACCAAATTGCCAGCCAGCAGGAAAACACTTAACAATTGCTCTCCTTAATATGACTAAGAAGGAGATGAGTTTGGAGCAGTTAGAACACTATTTAACCATCCATCAAATTAGTTCTGGTTTTGTATGGGTGCATTCAAAGGACATCTGACTATCATCTGATATTGAGTACAGTAATGCTAAACCCATACCTAAAATGGCCTGATTATTAGCTGATAAGTAGGCTGCTTTTGAACACAGGTCTGGCACTTTTCCAGAAAAATACTCAAAGCTGTTTTCAAAATCAACCGGACAACTGAAAATGTGAGGAGGATTGTGCCATGAAGCAGCCATGGGAGAAAAAACAGCTCTGGTCATGCAGTTCCTATGCTGATATCACCGGTCAGCTGCTGTTCACACTGATATGCATACTATAAACCTTTTAAGTTGGCCAAGTCAGGAAAGAGACTCATTAAGACTATTATAAAGTCTTCTAATATAAAAGTATAAAGTCCTTGTGTAACAACAGAATCTTGAAAGCCTGACAAAGTTTCCTTCCCCCCCCTCTCCCTCCCCCAGTCTTATACGAAAGAGGCTCAAGGCAGAGTAAACATGAGTTTTCTTCCTCCCCTTTTCAGACCAACTTAATGTTTATGTGATGGCTGTTAAATACTTTCTTCAAAACTGTCTCTGTACTCCTTTATACAGTGGCTACATGCATTGTTTCTAGTTTGTGCATAAGTTGTGAAACATTTTCTGTACAAAAATGTGTTTCAGACATTCTGCCTAATAGATCTAAATAGAGAGTAATTCAGTAGAACCAGAACATTTTGACTGCCCTGGATTTTAGTAAAGACAAAATCCAGAGGCGAAAGCAGGGCAAGACTGACAAACCTTGTATCTTACTCTTCAACACAGCTTGTGTATCAGTCTGCCCAATAATTTTCCTAGCTTCTTCATTTTTCAGTGTCCTCTTAGCCATTGTAATTACTGCCTTCAGTTTCAAGTAGGACAACATTTGTCCCTCCCCAGCTTCCCCTCTTTGGATTTACAGTGTTTGTAGCTAAAATATTGGTGGTTAAGGGGCAGAAGAAAAGTGCTGGGAAGGCTAATAGGTGAATGGGCCAGTTGGATATGCTCTGCTTGAAGTCAAGGACATTGACAGTGATTTTTTCCTATGTTCTGTGAAGCATCACTACTAGAATATTAGTAGTTTTCACTCCCAACACTTGAATTTTAGTTCAGAAACAGATCATCCAATCCTACCTGTGCACAGAACCCTTTACACACCCGTATTTGTTTTCCCTTAAAAGCATTTAAATTAATGTTGAAACCACGGGTTCCCAACCTGGGGTGCGAGACAATATTCCAGGGGGTACGAAAACTTGGGTTTAGAAGTTTCAAAACTATTGTGTATATGCATAATTATATGCATATTATTTACTTTTGTAGGAGGTATGAGAATATATCAGAAGATTCTAGGGGTGCGGGGTATAGAAAAGATTTGGAACCCCTGGTCTAAACTAAACATTCTCTTTGCATGTACACTTGATAGAGATAGGAAAGGGTTTGATAAAGATTATACATAGAATACTGTTAAAGGCAGGCTTAGTTTATTCTAATAGGTAATATGCCTGATTATTCAGCGGGAGTTTGTTGACATATGTTAGAAATGCATTTAACTGTTTCAGTTACACAGTATATCATGCAATTTTGGCAATGAATGATCTACTACAATCCCAGTGGCAACAAGCAATTGTCACTCCTTCCAATAATCACAGGTTACTCACGACTAGTCACCAGCTGGTAAGAAATGGAATACCATCTTTGTAGGAGAGCAAGTTCATTGTATTTTAGCTGCTATTGGCAACTCAGTAATTTTGAGGGCCTTTGCGGGTGGAAATAGTAAGCAGCTTCCATTTTACTTCCAGCAAAAATATCGAATTGAATTTCATTAGAAAGAAAATTGAATTAAAATAATTGTGAGATAGAATTCTGTGGGCAGTTCTGTTCACCATATCTCACACAGTAGGTAAATGTAGAGGGAAATGATTGGGAAATTAAAATAACTTTGTCTAAAAGGACAGATTGCAATGTTTAAGGATATTAGTTTAAAATGAAGATGAATCAGATAAAGACAAAGGTCATGAGTAGTATGGAAAATGGGGATAGAGATAATAATTTCTTTCAAAATAATGGAATGCTAAATCATATATTAAAATGTGTTCAGAAAGATCTAGTTATTAAAAATGCAATATTAATTTTAAAAGTGCAGAATTCAATTGTGGGATTTGCTGTACAATCAGATATTATGATGGACAGCGCTGTAACCCATTTTAAAATAGAACTAGGCAAGTTTATTGAGAAGAGAGTCATTTGTCTTGATGGCTATAGGCTAGCTCCTGAATGTCAAACTATATGCTTTACTAGCTGCCAGTGCCAGAAGAATACTATCCATCTGTTCATGAGCTTCTAACATATCTCTAATTGGATTTTATAGGTATAGAATGTTGTACTTGATGGTTTGGCTTGATCTAGCAAGGCTCTTGTGTTCTTATAAATACAATTATCTTGGATTTGGGAAGAGAAGTCCTGTTGGGTATTGATTGATACTGATGATTGTGGAATCCATGTTGGCATGAATGTGTGCAGAATCAAACACCTCTTCTTTATATCATGCCTATGGATAGTCTCTAAGATCCTGACTAAGTCCAAATACAAGTGATAAAAAACTTGAAATTCTTCTATCCTGAAATTTCCAAGGTTTATATGTGTGTATTACTGTGTAATGTTTTGTTTTTAGTAATGCAAAATAATCATTAAGAGATGTGATATTCAAGTAGCATATACAATTTGTATATGTCTTTGTAGAAATTATATTTCAGATCTCACAGAAGAATCATAATTCACTTTGACATCTAAGTAAACGATTTAATATTTAAAAATTAAAGCTGCTATCTATTTGGAATTGCTTTCTGTGGAAGGGCGAGTATATCTCTTGTTATGTCTCCTTATTTTAGGGCTCCAAGAAACTAGTGAACACAATTCTGAGTTGTGCAGATGATTCATTGGCTGGAATAGTCGCATGCAATCCTAATCTTCAACTTCTAAATGGGCATAGAGTGGCACTACGTTCTGACTTAGAGAACATAGAGGGCAAAGTTGCACTTATTTCTGGCGGTGGATCAGGACATGAGCCTGCACATGCAGGTTAGTGGAATGGCCTTCTGGAAAGTTTTTCAGTCTTGAATACAAAGAAGTGAAGACTTGGACTGGGATTCATTTGTCTGATTTATATTGAGCCTCAGTAAAATTGTAGAAAAACTAAGATGCAAGATACTCCAAGTGTAGATACGATACCATCCTGTCTATCATTTTTCCACAGGATACATTGGAAAAGGAATGCTCACTGCAGTGGTCGCTGGTCCAGTATTCACTTCCCCTGCAGTGGGTAGCATTTTAGCAGCAATTCGGACTGTGAAACAAGCTGGAGCAGGTATGGTCGCATTTTTCGTGGACTAACATCCCATCTGGATAAGGAACAGAAGGCAATTCAATTCTTTCTTTTATAGTTGGGACATTGCTAATAGTGAAGAACTATACAGGAGACCGTTTGAATTTTGGGCTGGCATTGGAACAGGCACAGGAAGAAGAGATCGCTGTGCAGATGGTGATAATTGGTGATGACACTGCCTTTGCCACCAAGAAGAAGACTGGCAGGAGAGGCCTATGTGGCACAGTGCTTGTACATAAGGTAAGAGTCGTCCATCTTTGCTCTGAAGGCAAATATTGTCATTGGCTATGCTTTCATTGCACAGGAGCAATATCAAACTATACACTCTATTGAAAAATGTTACATAATCCTAAGTACTTTGTCTTATTTGTGCTTGCTATTCATTACATGCAGCCTTTCAGCATCAGTATTTGATGACTGATCACTAAGTTTAGCTTTGAGAATATGGAGAAAACTTTGCAAACAGTTCTGTCTAGATTTAAAGATAGAGATTATTCAGAAAATATACATGAAGTATTAATTTGTTTGTTTCTGCTGATGTTTCTTATAGTTACAAGAATTCATACATCTTTAGCAAAGCTTTTCTTATTTTTATTTTATTAAAGCATTTGGAAAAAGTGAATAATAACTATAGAAAAAAGAAAAGTAATGGGTAAAGAAATATATTATCAGTAAATAAACAGAGTTTACAATTGTGATATTTAAAATACAGTATTTCAGTAATTGATTATATGTAACTGAGTATATCATATCATTTTTTAAAAATATAGCTATCAATCTTTCTAAAACTCTGAACAGGATATTATTATCACCAACTATTATTATTTTGAGGATAAATGCATATAATATGAAATTTAAAAATTAAAATCATAATTTTCTGGTAATGTTTTAGTTTTGTATTTCATCTACTTTTTATATGAGCTCTTTTTTGTCTGAATAAAACTTAATGTTTCATAGTTAGGTATAGACACACCTATCATGCTATTTCCTTTCAACATTGTACAAAGCACAGAAAAAGAGTAAGAAGTAATGAGCAATGAAATTGGAGGCAAGTACATTGGAAAAGAAATCTACCATAATTTAATTGCACTAATTACTTTTTTACATTTTAAAACAATTTTAATAATTGTAATGGGTTTTTGTCATAAACTTTTATATTACAATTCTACACATATGTAATAGGAAATAGTTTTATGAACTTAATTTATTTATTTCTAAATATAGATGAAACTAAATTGAAACAGTGTCATGGGGCAGTATGTGGAAACAAAGCTCATTATAATAAATCCATGTTTTAACAAATATAATCCTGAAATGACAACGTTCTGTCTTGGAATTATTAAATTTTCAGATTGCAAATTATTATACTATTGGAGAGATAAAGTGTGGAGACTTCAAGTAAATTCTAGCGGATAGTGCATTCACTGAATCACAGCTTAATACTTTATTCACAAGCATTGTCCTTCCTCTTTTGGGTAGAATATTGAATTATGACCCGTTAAAACCATTATGTTGAGTCCATGTAACATTTTTTCTTGTTTATATTTAGATGGCTGGAGCGTTAGCTGAGGCAGGTGTTGGTCTGAATGAAATTGCTCGTAGAATTACTACTATTGTAGGAGCAATGGGTAAATGTTTTTTGAGAATAAGTTTCTGGATTGAATGTAAATCATTCCTGTATCTATCTGTCTATCCATCTGCCCATCCATCCATCCTAAACAACATGTGACTTTCCCTGCCCCATTGCTTTGTGGGATGCCAGCAGGGAAAGTTGCAAATGGCATTCAGATGACCATGGGACGTTGCAA